AATAAATAAATAAATAACAAGTCTTATAAATCCATGTTAATTTCTAGATTCATGTTTCAGCCTTAAATATTCAGTATGTAATAATAGGATTTTCTTTTCCAAATTATGGAAAGCTCCAGAAATAGAAATATTCAATATATGGTGAAAAATTGGTACTCTCTCATCTATTTTTTCTAAGTTGAAAAAGTAAATCTTTGTTTTGCTTTAATAGATTAGATTATGTTGAAACACATCTGCTCTTATAGATTATTATTTGTCTACATGTTGAGGCTAGTAACAAATTATAAATTGTGGAAGTAAAAAAAGACTTTTGTTTACAGTAAGGGTAAACCAAGTAATTTCGACTCGATCTGCTGAGAATGTCTAGAAAAGCTGACAGCTGAACAAAACTTAAAAATAGTCTGAAGACATCAGAGAGCTGGAAACAATGAAGAATTCCTAAGGAAACACAGAAATTTTGGTAGGTAAGCTGTTTTCCTCTGTGTTGGCCAATTCTGTGAATGGTGGCTGAGATGCTAAATGGCTATGTTGATAACCTCATGGGAACAGGGAGAAGAAGCATTGGAGTATGGGGCCTGTACTGGTAAACCTTTCCTTTAATTTGAGTGAGGATACCAAATGGCTGCCCATTGGGAGTAAGAATGATCCAGAAGTAAAACAGGCCTTCAATGGGATGGCAGCTCAGCTTTGAATACTCTCAGTCTCTAAAACTGGATTGAAGTTATCTAAGATTTTTAGAGCTCCCAGGTGCCTGGCAGAAGCAAATCTAAATTTCCTTCTCAGGAGGAAGTTAATATCCTAGGTATAGGAAACAGACTCTATAGTGGTTCATATAATCCCTGTCCTCTGGTATTCCTTTTGTGGGAGGGGATTCCTATGACTTGCTTCTGATCATTAGAATACCATGAATATGATGGGATATACATGATCCCATGTATACATGACTACATCAAATTCTAATGCCCATCTTGTTAAGAAACTCCCTTATTGATTTTGAAGAAGCAAGCTGCCATGTCGTGAACTAGCCTTTGGAGAGGGCCACATGACAAGCAACTAAGAGCAGCCTTTAGCCAATAATCGTCAAGAAACAGGTCCTTGTTCCAGTATTCTGCCAGGAACTGAATTTTGCCAACAACCATGTGATTTTAGAAGTGAATCTTGTCCCAGTGGAGCTTCAACTGAAAGCACAGTTCCAGCTAACACGTTATTGCAGCCTCATGAGACCATGAAATAGGAGCCAGCTAAGCTGTGCTTGGACTCCTGACCCACAGAACCTATAAAATAATGTGTGGTGTTTTAAGACACTAAATTTGCGGTACTATAGTTACACAGCAGTAGAAAGCTAATATGTAGGCCTCAAATCTATAAACAGGTTTCTAAGTACATTGTAGGGCACACAACAAAAAGTAGCCACACAAAGACAGGAATGAACACCAGCAGAGGCTTCCATTTGAGCAGATCTGCAGGATGGACTTCCAGGTACTGAAGTTTTCAAAGATAAACTTCTAAAAATAAAAGAAAAACTGAGAATTTTGGCAAAGAATTGAAAATTATATTAAAAACAAGGCCAGGTACAGTGGCTCATGCCTGTAATCCTAGCACATTGGGACGCCAAGGTAGGAGGATCACTTGAAGTCAGGAGTTTGAAACCAGCCTGAGCAAGAGTGAGACTCCGTCCCTACAAAAAATAAAAAAATTAGCTGAGTATGGTGGCGTGCGCCTATAGTCCCAGCTACTCAGGAGACTGAGGCAGAAGGATCTCTTGAGCCCAGGACTTTGAGGTTGCTGTGAGCTGTGATGATGCCACTGCACTCTAGCCCAAGTGACAGAGTGACACCCTGTCTCCAAAAAAAAAGAACATATGCAATGGAACAGCTAGTAGGAGGAATAAGTTCTAATGTTTTGTAACACTGTAGGATCTAGTTAACGATAATATATATTTTCAGATAGCTAGAAGAGAGAATATTGAATGTTTACAACACAAATGAGAAAATGTTTGAGATGGTGGATATGCTAATTACCCCTGTCTAATCACTATACATTGTCTGTGTCAAAACATCACCATGTACCCTGTAAATATGTACAATTATTATGTGTCAATTAAAAAATAAAATGGAAATACTAGAACTGAAAATTACATTCACTGGTAATCAAAATAGTTAACAACCATTAGAAGCACCAACCAATCAGATAATAAGCACCAGCCAATAAAAGTGGATGATGGCCACAAACACCCCTAACTGTGCCTTTTACTGATAGCAGCCCTGCACTTGCCATATGCCAGCACCTCACACACATATTATATACACTGAATAAAAGTTCATTGAGGTCCTACTTTACTTTTAGTCATTTCTATTTCCTCTTTTTAAATATCTGGGGCTGGGTGTGGTGGCTCACGCTTATACTCTTAGCACTATGGAAGCCTCAGGCAGGAGGATCCCTTGAAATCAGGAGTTCGAGACCAGCCTTAGCAAGAGCAATACCCCAGCTTTACTAAAAATAGAAAGAAAATTAGAAAGAAATTACTGGCCAACTGAAAATAGGAAAAATTAGCCAGGTATGGTGGCACATACCTATCCTTGGAGGCTGAGGCAGGAGGATCACTTAAGCCCTGGAGTTTGAGGTTGCTGTGAGCTAGGCTGATGCCACAGCACTGAAGCCCTGGTGACAGAGCAAGACTGTCTCAAAAAAAAAAAAAAAAGAGTCAAAAAAAAAAAAAAAAAAAAAAAGATTATCCTGGCCAACCTCTGTGGCTCATGCCTATAATCCCAGCATTTTGGGAGATTGAGGCAGGAGGATTGTTTGAGCCTAGGAGCATGAGACCAGCCTGGGCAACATAGCAAGACCCTGTCTCTACAAAAAAACCAATTTTTAAAAATTAGCCAGTCCTGGTGGCACATGCCTATAGTCCTAGCTACTTGGGAGGCTGAGTTGGGAGGATTGCTTGAGCCCAGGAGTTCAAAGCTGCAGTGAGCTATGAGCACACTACTGCACTCCAGCCTGGGCAACAGAGCAAGACCCTGTCTCAA